CCTAAAATCCATTATCGCCACTACCATCGCCACCTCCACATCCTTCTCCACCTCCCCTCAGATGAGTTACTAATCAACGAAACTTCTTTGAGAAATTGACTAATCGTTTTAGGAATATAAGGTTTTCATTGCCGATTGTCTACAAGTTAAACTCAGTTCCGATGGTTCCATTTCTTATCAGATCTTTAATTTCCAATTAATCAAATATCCCAGTTTTTTCATGAACCCAAAATCATAGATAAAGGAGAAACAATGAAGATCTATATCGCTAGTGTGAATGCAATATATCGAATAAAAATCAATGATTTTTTGAAGAAAGAAACACGAAGATTCTATTAAGCAACGCCGAGTTTTGAAAGAGCTGAGCCGATGATATCTATGCAAATATGAAGTCTTTTTCGGGTTGTCGCATATGAGGGGAGGTGAAGGAGGAGGTGGTAGTAATTGATTTTGGATTTGGGGTGGGAGGAAGAAGACGACGACCGGCTTTTTTTTTTTTTTAAATTTCTATTTTTTTCTAATTTAATTTCTCACTTATTTTAATGTAATAAATAGAAGTCACTATTTTACCCTTTTAAAAATATTCACAATTCTTAGTCAACTAACAGACATTTGGATGAAAATCGTTCAAAAGGGTCTTCGTCAAAACGTTTTGAAAGGTTTGAAATGACGATTGCAACAAATTAAAGATTTAAGGAACGTTTGCTAACATTCTAAAGGTTTGAAACCTCCGCTGCGATTTTCCCTGAAAATAATGGGACTAAAACAAGGGCGTAAACCTGATATTGGATCGAAATGCATTATCACCATTTAGACCCTTGTATACTTGGTCTCTTTGTGGCCAAACCTTTTCTATTCATAACGAGACTACTTCCCACTCCACGCCCCTCTCTAATTATCCTCCTCCCCCAATTCTCAAATCTCTATGTGTGCGCGTTTGTGTGTGAAAAATCCTCTATAATCTTTCGTGGCATAATACTCATATCAAGATATGGAAGCGGCTTCAAGTGCAGCTCTAACACCTCAACTGCGCCATTCTATTGACAGTAAAAATCCCAGTTTTTCTTCCGTTTCTTATCCATTACCTTCCTGTAAGTTCTCCCCCTTTCCCCTTTCCCATTTCCTCTTTCCCTTTTCTGTTTATGTCATGTTTAACTAATTAATTACTAGGTATGGCTTTACCTGAACTGTTGTTGGGTTTTATGTTAGTATTAGTCGAGGAAATGGGAATTGCTTTATATATATATATATATTTAGAAATGTCTTTAGGGCTGTTAATTCGTGTATATATATATATATATATATATATATATATATATATATATATTTAGAAATGTCTTTAGGGCTGTTAATTCGTATATGCAGATGATTGCCTTGGGTCTTCTTAATTGTATCCTTGGTAAAGGTTTATAGTTGTCCACAGCCAAAATGATGCGAAAAAAAAAAAAAAAAAAAAAAAAGGTTTTCTCCCT